GGTACAAAAATCCTGCAGCCCCATTGAAGTTCATGGCCTCTTGGTCTACATCCCAATCAAATGATGCACATTGAAATCCCTGGCGATACCTCAAAATGCAGCTGCAGAGGTGAGGCCATCAAAAGGGTACCACACATTTGCTTGCTTGATGTTTCATTGAGACCAAATCTATATAGTGGAATCTAGGTACCAATGCTTTGTTGTTTTTCCAGCTCCGGCAAAAATCTCAAAGAACTGGATGGGTTTGGGCGGCTTCTCAAACCCGCTCCACGACAAAGCAGGACCTGTAGTAAGTGATGGTAAGCGCAATCCCGCAATCCTTTTAATGGTCCATGGATTTACTTTAAAAGACTGGCACATAAGGACCTGACGATGGCCACTAAAGCCTAGGCCGAGCAAAAGAATGGCATCATTGTCCAGGTTTGCGTGCACAGTCTTTTTTTGGGATGTCCAATGCATGCTACTAGATGATACTACATGTAGGCAGGAGACCTTGGGGCATCCCAGTTCCATCAAATTGTGCACAAGAGAAGGCATTGCCACCAAGTGTCGACTGCAATATGTTTGGAGCCAAAAATCTTTGGTATAGTATCGCACGGAGTTCAAAACGTTCAAAAGCATATTGCATGAAACACACCCTTCCGTGATACGGCAACTGAACGAAGAGTGCCACACTGTGTGCTAGGAGGCTGGGCACCTGCACTTTGCGCTCGAGCCCACCAAGTATACGATCTTCTCCCCATCGGCCTGGCACTCAAGTGGTCAGCTGCCATGGTGAAGTTTTGATCAATCGATCATGAGCAATCTGATCACGAGAACCAATTTTTGGGGGGTTCCTCTCAACTTCTGCTGGAGCATAAAAAGATGCCAGAGTGAGTGCAAAGAATTTTCCATCCACGCGGTTCCAAAGTGCTTTAGGGCACAAAAGAGTTCCCTGCCATCGTTTTGAAATGCAAGGTTCTAGCCATTGCCCCTACTCTACCAATTTAAATCTTCTGGATGCCACGACTCTATGCATGGCTTTGCACCGAGTACTGTTCACAGTACATGCACAGCCATCCCACCGCAACATGCGCCCCGCAGTTGCGGTCGCCCCTTAAGATCAAGCTTTCATTCTGCGGCTTTGTAGGCCTCAGAGTTGGCACAGGAGTGTAAATCAATTAAATCATATGCGGACTACCCGAAAGCACAAAACACCTCACGTGAACTATCACTTGCGCACACGCAGACTATTGCAGCTGGAGCACTGCACGTCCCAACTCCTTTTGTTCGTCCAGGCTCTTGCCTGCCTCCCGGGCAGCCTTCACGGCTTTGTGGTATGCTGAACTCTTTCGCGAACATTTCTGCTTGAACTCACCATCAGGCTTGGCTGCAGCCTTGGCCTTTGGCTTGGCTGCAGGTTTGGCCTTTGGCTTGGCTGCAGCCTTGGCCTTTGATTTGCCCGTTGGCTTTCGAGGCCGAGCGACCTTAGGGCGATCTGCAGACCCAGCAGCTTCCCCATCATGTGGCCCAGTGCCCTCACTGCCTACATCCGTTGGTTCACCATCGATCTCTTCCATTTCATTCTTTGGGTCTTCAAGTGGAGCTGCCCGCTTGCGACTGGCTGCTGGCCTCTTGAATGCTGCTTTGGCCTTGCCCTTGGGTTTTTGCTCTTGGACATCAGCAGGCTTGGCTTTTGGCGGGCGACCTCTCTTAGCATTCGGGTCCTTGGGTGGTAATTGATCCTTTGGTGAGATTGGCATGACGCCATTCATGGCTGGTGGTGGCGGAATCTCTGGAATAGCACCAGCACTGTTGGGCTTCTCATTCCCATCTTTCTTGGCCTCCTCCTGGGATGTACTCTCTTTCCCTTCGAGCCCTTTCTCTCCGCCATTCCCAGCCTCTTGTTTCTCAACCTTGGCTGACACATCCTGTGGGGAAGCCTCGGCGTGAATGTCCTTCACGCCTTCCGCCACGCCTTTTTGATGAGGGTGGGCCACAGCCTCCTCACTTGTTGGCTTGACGATGACATCAGCAGGCTTTGCAGCAGACTTGCAACAAGGCTTGTAGTTGCCCCAACCCAATCCCATTCGCAAGTGTTCTGGCACCGACTGCTTTTCCTCCTCCTCCGGACTGAGTGCAGCCACAGGTCGTGCTGCTGCTTCGTCAGGGAGGTCCTTTTGGTCAGCAGGCTCCCAGGGTGATACCGGGGAACGAGCCCAAATGCTCCCCAAAGAAGCGGTGGTAGCAATGGATGCCTCGGAAAGTTTGCGTTCAGGTGGTGCAGGTTGATTGGGATGAACCATGACCGGCTTCGTCTCTTCACACATGTACAGCTGCGTCTCCACTTGGGTCTCCACATTGTCCAAACCTGATAACTTTGCATGTCCAACTATTTTTAGATCAGCTAATATACATGCGTGATCCTGCGTGCATATCTTATATAAAGAAACGTGTTGTACCACTTTCGCTTTGAGGCTCCGACTGATTGCCGGCGCTGCCGCAATTGCCAGTGAGGACTTTGGTAGGGGAGTCCACTGTTATTTTTCTGCATCAGCTGGTCCAAGTGCAGTTGCATTTTCTGAAGTTCACGTAACTGTTTCAGTTTTGCGGTTTCAACCTCCAACCGCTTTGCCACATCATCACCTTTCGATGAAGGGTCCATGGGACCACTTACACATGGAACCGCCTTCAGAAGGTTTAAGTCTTGAGCAAAGGCTGAACATACCCGACACTCAAACCCATCGGACTCCTGCTTCACCGAGTGGAAGTGGGGTTTATCCAACTTGTCCGGCGTGACCAGGGCAATTGGCACACCTGCCAAAAAAATGGATCCGGTTCTACCAGTCTAGATAGTGCTCAAAGGTTTAACTAAGCTCAACCCCTGTCTGTCCCAATCGAATCCGGTTGCCTCGTGGAGAAGGCGTTGACTTTGCGGTCGTTGACCCGCCATCACCTAAATTTTGAAGGTTGATCATCAAACATACAAGCCATGTGAAGGAGGCACAGCATGGCATGCAAACAAAGCACATGTCGAGGGTGTTGGGGACATTAATGTCGATGGCTTTCGCCTGACATCATCACCATCAGGACCACGTGGGAGCTCAACTTCGGCAGGCAGATCCGCAACACTATCCGTAACCTGGCACTTGAGGGCTGGTGGTGGATGGGGTTGAGGTGGCTGCGCATGATCCTCACTGGGTCGAAAGAAACGAAAGAAAACCATCATGACCTACCCTTTCCCACCTCAATGTCAATGTGTTCATCATCATCCAATGGTTCTTCTTCACCCCCTTCTTCGCCACACTCGTTGGTGGCCATGTTGTCCGCTGCCGCTTCATCAGCAGCTTCCCCTAAGATAACATCAAAGTTAGGGGCTGAATTCAGGGGGAGTGGAAACAGCATGAAACATCAGCAAATAAACACATGCAAGGAACCCTCTGGTAGCGGCACCCCCCCTGCAATGTACAATTCACGCATTGCAGGTTCGCGTGGAACGTGTGGCCTTCTAGCCGCACGGGCGAACTCGGTCACGAGTCGTCGTAGACCCCACGCGTGGCCCTTGATGATGCTTCCTGGGAAAAGGCAGCGGGTTGGAGAAAGACTGCGTGTGAAATGACAGTGCTTTCCTATGACCAACGACAGTTTTCTCCATGAATGCTGCTATTATATGGTTGCATGCAAGGTTCCATTGACTGGTGGTTTTCCTCGAGGCCTCACTCTCCAAAAAAACTCCTCGACACACTGCTGGATCTGGTGTACTGAGGGTCGCATGCCTAGGCCGGGTACACTGGGCCAATAATTTAAATACTGTCCATGGTCCATGAAGCATATACAGAAGCAGTCATGCTGCACGAAACATGTTAAGACGAAGTGCCCAGTTCAAGGATTAGAGGCCGCAACAGCTCCGCGTTGTTCACAACGTCGCGCCGACACAAGTTAGCGTCTTTGCTAACATAGTGGATTAGATCACCTTTCTGTGCGAGAGTCACCAGCCATTCCATTTTTTCCCACTCTGCCGCAACTGCTCCCATGGCAGCCCGAAAACACCACAAAAAGCTGATCAGCAAGAAATGTTGCTCGAAAAGCGCTCATGTGACAAGTGCATAAACCTCTTGAAGTCACAGCTAGCAAAAGGCTGTGGCAACGTCATGCATTGACAAACAGGTCAGATCGACTTCCTTGAACTCCCCCACAAGAAAGCCAGTGTATATTCCCTCAGGCCCTGAGAGCAAACAGAAGGGTGATAGGTCACAAGTGGGATGCTCGATGGGCAAACCGTTGACCCATGGCAAACCCTGCCTAATCAGTCAAATCAAAGGCCAAAGATCATGCCACCATCATTGCGCGTCGTTGCGCCTGTCCGAGCTTGGGCATCTAAGGTACATTGGAGATGATCAGTGCACACTCAAACATACACCCCACCTCAAAGATACGGCGGCCCAAATCCCATGTAGCCAAAATGGCTGTTGGGGATCAGCAGAACCCACATTTCCGCGCGTTTCTCCAAAATGTGTTCGTTTCAGGCCCAAACAGATTTAAGCTACAAATCTCCATTGTACTCATTTTTAGGTGACGTTTGAAGCTCCTGGTAACTGGTATATATATTTATACTATAATTAATATATATATATATTATATTAAAATTATATCCTGCTCTCTATCATGTCCCAACTCCCAAAAGAAGAACACAAAGAGCAACAAACACATGAGATCAGACATGTATAAAATATGTACATTTTGAATACATGATGGTTTGACAATGAGGGCGGGAAATTTTATTATTTCTATTTTCGCCATCTGCAGTTTTTTGGGTGTGCATGCAAGTTGATGCACCATCAATCTGCCAACACTGATAGTATCGTGCTGAGAGTCCGCTCCTCTCGTCGTGATGTCTTGTCCTGATTCGTTGCCACTAAAAACATCTCAAACCCAAGGCCACCGCAGCCCCGGCCACCTCTGATCATTCATTCACCAAAAGGCCTAAAAAAGGCCCCAAAAAGGCCGGGTGGTTCCTGTGCCTCAGGAACGAAATTCAAAGCAAAGGTGGTGAGAGCAAAGACCGACCTCAGACCGGTCCACCCCGGGGTGTCGGTCGTCCGACCGACACTGAGACACGGCGGCTCCGGGACCCGGTTGGTTCGGTCGCGGAGCCGGACTCAGTGAGGCTCCGGTTTGGGTTCGATGAAAAGAACGGCAGGTCCAAAGGCTGGAAAAGCCAAGCTGCGTTCAACCCTGCTGGCGATCAGTTTGTTTTATTTAAAGCCACAACCTGTAAGTTAGCACACAAGACCCCTAAGTTGCCCAACAAGGAAAGGCACACAAGGAAAGCTTGCCAAAGTCAGGGGTCCTCAAGGGGGGTCGGCTGAATCTTGGTGACCTCCAAGATCCTTGCTTTGCACATTATGCTCAAAGCCAAATGCACTGCTCTCCTTGGCTGTTCCTTTTCGTCGAGGCGCGCCAAATCGATGGAGAGGAAGTATAGCAACAGGCCAGCCGAGATGCCATACCCGAAGCACGCCAGTGTCTTGAACCTCGATGGACATGAACCCTTCTTCTGAAGTGTCTTTAATCGGCTTAAACGGAAACGGATGATATGTGATGAGTCATGCGATGTTAGTTGTTGATGAAAGAGATGCTAGTGTCACGGCGTGCATTCGACAATTCTGAAGCAACATGGAGTCGAGATGCCCCCAAACTCAACAGGGCAAACTGGGCAAACATATGATAAATAATACCGTGTAAGTTGACACGGGGAGAATAGGAACCGTACACCGTTTTCCATGATTCGTCCATATCTGAACATCTTCGTCTCTATAACCAAATTGATCCAAATTGTATAGTGCTGAGGTCAAGGTCTGGGTATATAAACCCTTTTGAAAGTGGCCTCGTCATGTTCTTTTTCGTTGACGACCCCCGCCCAAGGCGTCGTGCAAGGAGCGAGGTGTGGACGTAACGGGGAGGATGGACGTGGCGGTTAGTAAGGGCCCGACACACCCGAAAACGGGTTAGTGGGTTCTGTCAGAATACCAGCATTGTTCCCCGAAGCAGCAGTTTGTTTGTCATTCATGACAAAAAGAAAAGGAACAATTACCATCTACTACCATGCAGGCGTCGCCAGTTCCATGAAGGGTCACAGTACACGGTTACAGTATGTTACAGTACACTCTGATTGAGGCTTCTGTTCGACCGGAGAGTCCAAGTACCTCCAGGGACTTCTTTTCAAGTGAAAGTCTGACTGTTGCACTGGCTGTATGAGGATCCCTTTGAACACAGCAATAATGGTTGGATAATGTTGGAGAGCACTGAATCACAGAATTGGGTGGCGTGTGCACACAATCCCCGACCAAGTACTCATGATTGCTCCAGAGTATGTAGAATGTAGAATGTGAGACCCTTTGAACAAATGGCCGTTGTCCCATTGTTCTTGTTGAGGCTTCGTCTCTTTTCAGGATGGCCACTTGAGCGAATCAACCATACACAATAGGTTTAGCATGGATTTGCCAAGTGTAGCCTATTCTTCTCTTTGGTGAAATCTACAACGAATGGCAGTATTAGAGCCCTTGACGATCGCGTAGTCACATTCACGCACAGCAAGAACACGTCTATACAATTGGCAAGGAAGGCCTGTTACCCTGATGGCTTCAAAAATCTTCAAAACAGGCATCCAGGGCACAGGCCCGTTCTCAAGCCCGGGTTTTTTCGCAACTCCGGTCATGTCTTTCAACATCGGTGTTTCGCCGAACCCGCACTCGCCGAGTTCGCTTGCGGCACACACGGCCAAAGAGCATAATGTACTTCCTGAACATCACATCCACTGAGGAGTCCTGCGATGGGAACACTGAGTCGCGTGCGAACACGGAACACGGGAACGATGCCCAACATGACATGCCAAACTGCCAAAGCCGTGGGGCATCACGCGCTTGGCGGGCCGTGTGGTACGGAAAAAAATGGTCAGAAGTCTTCTGCACCCAAGCACCCAACAGAGCTAGAAGAAAGCACTTAGGTGATTGGCAATGGAAGGGAATACTGTACTATTGTACTAAGCTCTTAAAAGAACTGAAACAAGTACATTGGACTGCAGGGACTGCAGTTCTCCCACTCTTTTCTTTTTTCTATCCAACTTGGATGCACACAGAATCATTCAAAAACAAACAACTCAATGCACAAACATCACAAAACTGGTGTTGACTTTGAGTTTACCCTGGTCAGCAGCTCAAGATAGCTTCATCGAACAAAAGGCGATCCACATCGATCAACGATTCACAAATACTTCACGGCGCCAATCCGTGGAGTGCCGTCCATCGGAACAGGGCTGCAAAGCCAAAAGAGCGTGTAAAGCATGGTCAAGAGGACCTTGGAGGATAGACGCGGCCGCCATGTCATGCGACGCAGTGGAAGAACATGTGGGACGAAACAAAGGAGAAATCGACAGTGAAAAGCATCTACCGTAGGTAGCAAGAAGAGTCAGCTCAGCTCAGACATCACAAGGAGCCCTACATGGAGCAAGCATGTGGTTCCATTTAAGTCCGGCTGTCCTCGCCATACAAGAAACCACTTTCCCTCAAAGATCAGTGATTGCAATGATCTATATATCTATATATCCCCTTTCAAGAACCTACATAATTCATTACAGCGTCCTCTCCTTCGTCAAGACCATGGCCGGAGTACGCCGGCCGTTTCTTCTGCCAGCATGTCCAACTTTTACTGTAATTGTTCCAGTAAGCCTCTTCCAAGGTAATGAAACAATGGTATGCTATCGACAGTGTTATATCATGCAATGAGAAAAGTTAAAAGCTATGGGTATCTTGGCTCGGTTCGAGTAATAATATGCCTCCGATGTCTTTGGGTCTCCTGCCAAAGTTGGGGTGGTGCAGGAATTTCCAGGATGTCTAAAACAGGAAGTTGCAAAGGTTTGATATGCTGGGCCAAACAATATGTGCCAAAAGAGATCAAAAGGGAAGAGTCAACGCTTCAGGACATTTGGAAGTCACACTGCTAAACAAAAACAATTTTCGGGTCAAACCACTCTTTGTTCAGGTATGATCGAACCACCTTTTCATCCAAAACTTCAATGGCCTGGCTGCCGCTGTCCCTCGGATTCTGCTAGCCTGGTTTTGGCAAAAACAAAACTCACCCCAAGAACCAGTGTCTGGCTCACCCGCCAGCACTTTCGCACCGTCGAGATTCCAAGGGCCTGACCCCAAAGATCAAGGAGCTCACATTGTTGACTATATTCCCTGCGGCCGTCGCGTGCGGTCAGCCCGCCACTGGATCGCCCCAGAAGTTGGCTTCACATCGGCAAAAGGAATGAAGAATACTGAAGAACTGATATACATCGAACAATGCGGACTTGCAGTAGTTGTTTCCAAACCTTCCAAACACTACAGTATACTACAGTTCAGCTCAAACTAGGTCGTGATCTTGTGATGATGACTTTACTGAAGAGTCAACCAGTTGTATCCTTCAAGGGCTTTCGCAGGTCCATTCCACCAGTCGAAAGACCCATTCCACCAGTGTTTCAACGCACTTCGTTCTCCACTGCGGCGGCGGGTCCAAGCCAAACAGGAGAAACTCTACATTGTTGTTCCGTCGTTTTGGGTGCCTGTCTTTACAAGGTCCGTACAAAAGATTGGTCACTCCCACAAAGTAGATGAAAAGAGAAAGCATACCTGCGTTGGATGGTTTTCGGCAAATTTTTGCAACCCCACCCACAATTTATCTTCACTCACTGCTTGGGGTCTAAACCACCCTGTAGCAGCTTAAAGTTACTTGGAACTGGCTCAAGATTCCAAGATCCACAAAGATCCACGGACCCCGGATTGAAGCCCATCTGCCTGGGGGGGGTTGTAGTGCGGTGATCTGTTTTGACAACCGCGCCGGGCCTAGCAGGGAGTAGAAGAGATCCTGAGCAGACTTCACCATTTCAGCACTCGCCTCCTGTTCGGAAGAGCTGCAGTTGGCAGTTGGGCTGGTCACCGCTGGACTGGGAGAACCCACGACGTCTCATGGGTGAGATTGGGAAGACACCTTCCTGCGCCACATGAAATCGCAGCACGCACAATAGATAAACATCCTACTTTTATGTTTATATATAGCTTTATGATACAAGAGATGCTCAAGACAAATTTGCCTCACCAGCGCGTCAAAGATTATCCAGCTCAGGTAGACTCTTGTCCGGAAACGGGGAGCAGTCCCAGGGAAGCCGCTCAGGTACGGTTCGAGGTTCAAGTAGAAGAAACTGATAGAAACTGAACCAATCTAAAGGGTAGTCGAACTCAATCTAAGTCATTGAAGGCATGGGTCTTCTTTCACTATCCGTAATTACAAACGAGTCATTGTCCATGTCTATGTTAATGACCCAGTAGTGGAACATGGTTAGGATTTAGGATAACAAGTACAGTATATAACCACTATGAAAATACAAAAGTGATTAAATATTGAACTATATATAGGAACAACATGGAACAACTAGGTGGAAAGTAAGAATCCATCGACGGATGGGACACCAGCATACAAATGTCATGAAAAAACAAAATAGCTTCTGCCTTCTGCTCTGAACCCTTTTGTCTCCTCTCGCATTGCCCAAGCGCCCCACCGCCTCGCGCCCATGCGGGTCGGTCCTGGTACTGCTTCTTGAAGCTTTCCGGGACTTTGCTGAAGAGCGCCAATAAGTTTTTGGTCAACTCCTCGGCCCCCTGGCGAGACGTCCAGGCAAGACGAGGCAGGCGAGACGAGGCTATCGGAGCCAGGGACTCGAGTTGAACATCACAGAATTCGTCGCGGAACCTGCGAAAGAGGGAATTTTTACATTTCTGTCCACAATGTTCGCATACAAATGAAGACCAGTTTAAACAGTTTTGCTCTGAGATTCAAAGTGCTTTCAATATCTGAACCTGAAACCTGTTTCGTACCCCCTTTTTCTGCTGAACGGCAACATTGTATTTGCAACATGTTGCTTTGTGCTTCTGTGCAGGAACATCGTTTTGCAGCCATCGATCCTGTGTATTTTCCTTTGAAAAACAGCATGTCTCAACCTGCATGAGGACCCAAATCTCTCTCTTTACAATACCCTGCTGAAAAATACGTCTCAAACCTTGCATTGAACTTGCACCTGTTGTCCAACTGTGACACAGATCACCTGTGCCAGATTCTGCCTTCTGGTAGACGTCCCAGTGGTCTTGCATATGTCTAGCGGATTCCATGATGAGAAGGCCAAATCCTGATAGCCTCGAGCAATGCCGTGGAATACATTCACACTTGATCTCTTGGGGTTGCTCAAGCGACCTGAGGAAAGAATATGAGAGACTCATATAGCATTGCCCAAATAATATGGGTGTGGGGAAACAACATCCGAGATCCAATGAACACAAACCAAACTGAGCCAGAAGATGGTGGTACATCCCAGTTGCCCGGCAAGTACATAATCTGCAATCTACAATGCTAGGTGTCCAAACTTGACCCATGATATGAATCCATCATCCCAGTTTGATTCCCTTCACGAGCCTGGTTGAGTTGTTATGGCTCAAAAGTAGGGTACCCCCTAAAGCTCCTGTAAATTTAATATAACCAAATGGAGAACATCACCAAAATCTGAAGGACCCAGGGTCCTATAGCAAATTGTTTTGAGCAACACTCTCACTCTCGCGTCCAATTCATTGCAACATGTTCTACAGTATCGATATCTTCTCTAAAAGGGTCCTATATCATAGCTTGGTGATGTCCGTTTGGGAAGAATAGAGAGGGGTCGATTTGGTTCTCCCTATTCTTTGTTCACTTGGGATACCTATGCTCTCTATTGACCGTCATTTCTTCGCATCACTCTCAGAGACCCGTCACCCGAGGTCATCACAAGCCGAGCATGCCCATGGAGGCCATCCTCAGACAACGCGGCCGTTCGAGGCCCGCGAACGGCCGGTGACCAAGGGCCGCAACATGTTTCAAATCCATGTGTTACTGGTTCAAGGAATGAACATATTGTTTCTCCCACTTGGAGTTCTTTCTGCTAGACTGACCGGATATAGAGCGATATAGAGTTTTTCGGGCTCCAGCTTTGGCAAACTTGGGAAACTACCTCCCTTCCCCCTAAACCATAGTCAAGCTACAATCAACTGGGTGTAGGATCAATACGTGATGGATCCAGTTTATTTTGTGGGAGCGGCAGCAGTAGGTCTATGGTGGACCAATATTTTTGCAACACCGGAGACCAGTGTGTCTGTAAGAGAATCCAATGCCTTGTGAAGATCCGCAGAAAACAAAGGGATCTAACAATTCTGAGGTCATGTTCCAGCCCTGGCCATGAACCACTCTCCATTTTGTTCCGCGGTCAGCTTTGGCGGAACCGGCTGCTGTGCGGCGCGGCGGCCGCGGCAAAAGGCAGGGAATGATGCGTGAGGGCCTTGGAATCGACGGTATTTGCATTCGATCTGTAGCAAGTTCACAGCATACGTACACCAAAATAGATAAACATAGTCATTTACATATACATATATATATTATATATATAGTCCATGCGTGTAGTTAGTTAATAACAACAAAAGCAGCATAAGAGGCAAGAACAATGAGATGACAAAGGCACATGTATTGGACAAAAACTTTTGTAACACCATTGTCACAGAGTCTGCGACATCGAACTTTACACAATTCCAAATTGGACCCACATTCGCATTAGAAAACATGTCCTAAACCCTCTCTCACCAACATATCCAACATCACTCTCTCAACATAAAACTGTGCATGTACCAAATGTCCACCAAATATTCGCAATATTGAAAATCCAGCAGCAGCAAGCAACACACACAACATAAATCACAACACAGTTCGCAACCAATACGGACAGTGTGAATAGAGACAGAAGACGAACCCCGGAAATAATCCGGGTCGCCTTGGCTATATCTCTTGCATGGTTGGTCTTGAATTACGGGGACATACGGGGACCCCGCAACCAATGAATGTTCAGATGCTCATTGATCATTTCTACTTGTACTATCTAGGGACCTTGGCGGTTGGTGACTTTGGTCAGAATCTGACTCAACGCCACTGAGCACCAAGGTGCCAAAGCGCAAAAGGCAGCGACAGTTGCCTCTCCATTTGGAGGGCCAACTGCTGCAGGACCTGGGTCGACAAGGAGAGTTCTATATAAGTTCCACTCTTGGATTTTGAACTCCAAATGCCACATGACAACAAGATCTTTGGGATGCATCCAAACATCTTGAGGGTCGTGCCTCATAAGCTGCTTTTGACTTGCTTGGGGAGTCTTGAGTATATAGTAATGTCATACCATAGTGCCATACGGGTAGGACTCGCAAAGATCCCAAACTGGTGGACCGAGCACTGGCACCCAGTTAGAATTCTCACCATTGGTTTGTCAAACCATCATTGTTTGATAAAGTGAATGGCACTATGGCGTAACCCACCTGGATTATGCCTGAAAAAGGATCTGTTAGATTCGGGCTTTAATAGAAGGCCATATAAAATATTCGAAAATAGGTAAAACACTTCTAATCACTACATACATCATCATACATCGATCTATTTGTCAATATGTCAGCTAATTACCTTCACGGCTCGATGTACGTTGATGGACGAAATCCTGCATCGATAAAGCAACACACGTGGTCATCCGATAGTACAGACCACCGTGCCCCCCAACTCAATGTTGTCTCATGTTTGCTATGTGTGATGCAGGATTTGTTGTCGTTCAACCTTTTTCTGTTTGACGCATTTCCTCAACTCAACGTTAAAGAGGGAGCGCGAGGGTTTATACATGAGTTTGTTCGTCCAGTGGTGCAGGATTTTGTCCATCACCAGTATCTCTCTCTCTCTCTCTGGCTAAGCCTGACTCGTTCTGGAGGGCTGAAACTCTCACCCACCTTTCTCGGCCGAGCTCAGCCACGGCACGTGCCGCTGCGCCACAAGCTCTTGGACCGTGGAGGCCCAAACTCCCTCGCTGCCGAAGAGGAAGAGCCGCGGGCCTCGGGCCGGGCGTTTAGGGTGAAAAACCGGTTTTTTGAACGGCGGAGGGAGCCGTGGAAAGCCACTGGCCTGTTGACCCCCGTTTTCATGGGGCGGCTGGTCTTCCGGACTTGGGAGTCGTGCTATGTTGAACTAACCTTGATTGAGGCATCTTGACGCTAGGGCCGCTAGGGAGTTGTGATCCACACCTGTTGGTTTACCATTTACCAAAAGAATCCAATAGATCACGTGATGACTTTCCGGAAATAAAAGGGGACGTGAGAGGAAATTGAAAGGGACTGAGTTCGAAGCAATGTCAGAGAGAAGCTGGAACATTGACTTCCCAGCCTAGCACCTCCGTACTTCAATCTCTTTTCAGAGCCCCACAGTGGCCTCCTCCATTCATCCAGATCCTCCCTAAACGCGCCCAGAACAGCCCAGCGACACCACGCACGAGGGCCTGCAGCGACATAGATCTCCTGCGCCGATGCCTCCAGCCGCTTCAGAAGACCTCCGATGTCCCGCGTTTCCGGTCGCGTCGCCTTGAGTGGATCGCGGTCAGGTGGAGGGATGGTGGAAGAAAAAACAACACATATTATGCTTCTTCTGCGTTTTGGGGTGTCATAGGAATGAGATGAAGAAACTGTACAGGTAAGAGGTATGTGAAATCAGCCGAAACAACAGCTGTTTCGGTTGGTACCTTCGACGGCCCAGTGTTGTCTCCCAATGATTCATGCAGATTCCTCGACGCTTCCTTCACAGGTGGTGCGCACCATGCTGCGCTGTTTTCGGACCGGCGGATGAAAGGCACCTGCTTCAAGACCTTCACCAGATTGTCGTACCCATTGGTGCGGTGCTACTGGAGCCGCCTTGTACAGCTGACCTCGGAAGGAGGTCTTGCTGGCTCATGGAAAGGATTTTTGTGGCGCCCATGATAGTGGATCCTCCGGCCACGTTCCACATCCAAAATAGTTCTAAAATGTTCTAAACATGTTGAACCTACTGTGTATATTACACTCCTTGCAAGAAACATGGAAGTGGAAGTCCTGGCCCTGGAGGGTAGGACGAATGTGTAAACATGTGCTGTTCGTATCTCAAGTGGAGCTTCTCCGAAGGCCATCGAAGGGTCCAGGCAAAGCCTTCCCTCTGTGAAGTTGATCGAGCCACCACCTCGCAAGAGGACAACTGCTCCAGGACGGGTCCAGGCAACGTTGGGGGAGCCTGAGGCAGAGAGGTCAATCATGTCGATCTGCTCCCCCAACTCAGTCAAGGTTGCTAGGTTGCGACGCGATTGTTTATGATCACTTCCGACTGGGGTTGGAGGGTTGCCTTGTGGCCTTCTCACACTGAATCCAGGGTGATAGCCATAGCCCTGGAGCAAAAGTGGGGCCCAAAATCATGATGGGAACTCAGACTCAAGCCTCCCATACAAACCAACATCCAGCACCGTGGGATCATGGTGCTCTGCTCTTTGTCATCTATTACCCTATTGTGTGAACCTTAGGCACGGCGATTGAACCCAGATCCTGACCCAAATCTGGGTTGCAACACGGCAAGCGTAGACTACGACCATCAACGACGCTGGCAGCGCTCAAACATCTCAGACATGCTCGTCTTGCGCACTTCACGCCTTTGCACCTTTGCACAGTTCTTGGACTATTCATTCACACATCATTGAATGATGTTGGATGGTTGGGCGACTTCCAAACCTCCACGCACAGTGGAGCATTATGGCATACCAATCCTTGTTTCATGCCTCCCACTGCGCCCCATATATCACGTTCCCATCCACCAAGCAGGAGCGCCCCAGGCCCTCGCGGCTTTTGCTCGGCATGAAGATCCGATCTTTCGGATGTGCTTCCTCCAGCCTGGTCAACTGTAGTGAAGACGGTCCAAGATGCTCCAGTGAAGGTCTTCCAGGGCGGTGGAGAACAACACGAGAACAATGCACTGCCCTTTAAACCCAGGAGGAAATCACCCGAACGCTGCGTGCTTCGTCGAAGGATAGCGGATTCGGATAGCAATGATCGCAATATGCTTCGTCGTGTCGCGCGCCAATGAGCCAATTCTTCGAAGCAAGCTGTGCGCGCGCATTGCGCACTGCGGGCAGCCAGGCAGCCGTATTCGTGGAGGTGTTATTGGATCTTCTGAACGACCGAAATGACTTCGCAGCCACGAGCTGCCGTTAGTCCCATGCAGCCTCGACACAGCAGGCGCTCCCGTCACACAGGATGCACCGCTTGAGATGGCGGATCCCACTGACCAGAACTTCGATAGTAGATGATTGAATACCTGCAGTCTCCAACAAAACGTGGAAACGAGTCAAGCCCCTGCCTTTCCAATATTTGCGCAAAAGGGTGGGTGCTTTAGAAGACTTACAGTTCGATGATGGCAACTCTGTTGGGTCTATGCACTATAGGAGGAGTTTCATGGAGTTTCTTCTTGTTGTGACGTGAAACTCTCAGGCGAAGGCCTCAGGATCTCTCAGGTGTCCAAACAAAAACATCACCAAAAACCCCTCGCCACATGGTCCAGTTCTTCCCCAAACATCACCCGGCCTCTCTCCACGATATCCTGAGACCCAATGTGGAAAGCGCCCATCGATGCACACCAAACGGTTCTGCGTCTGAAGGACTCGTACCTTGCTGGGGCTTTCTTCCACGCACAGCTCGCCACCGCCTGTAAAGTCACCCACTGACAAGGCGTACTGCACAGAGAAGTCATTTTGGTCGATATGCCTGGTGATCCAAATCAACCGAAGACGGACCGGGTCTACGAAGACCATTTCGAGAAAAGATCGCGGGCGCAACCGGCGCACATCATTTGGAACGCTGGCTGTTTCAAGTTGTGTTCTGGTTTTTTAGGTGGTGTCTTCTCAAACCGAAACCACCCCAGATCCGGTTTTCTTGCTCTGAGCAGGTGTTTTCCACAGGCTGAGGCGACGTGAGCCGTCTTTGGGAATCAATTCTGATGCCCCAGTGGCGGGCTGCCCCGGAAGTTCTGGGTCACCGCCATGGATGTAAAGTGGAAGGCAGCAGCTTTTGGAGAAGCACCTGCAGGTACTCTGAGGTCCGAATTGATGAAAATGATGGGGGAACCGCCAGCGTTTCACTGTTGCATATGATTGATGTAAAGGGTAAGTTTAACAGTGGTTTTTTTTTTGTATAGCATGGTATATCATATACAGTAATTGATCAGCAGGATTGGGTGGGGCACCAGCAAGGTCACTTTGATGCAGAGTCCTTTCGCGGTTGGGCCTGCAAGACAAGAATGACGAAGTGTCACTGGATGTCGTTATAATTTTCTGGGATTGACACGGTGGCGTGCCACCTTCCTGTTCTGTCCAAGACGTGGATTATCGTGTCGTCAAATCATGGATTGCTTCAGTGGTGTCCTCGGAGAAACAAATTGAAAAGCTAAACCAACCAGAAACAACATCCCACAACAGGAAGCTCAATAGGTGAATGGATCGGTGAAAGGCTGAAGAGTTTGGACTTGTTTGTCATGTTTTGCAGCTGGGGATAACTCTGTTTCACAAGACATCACTGCATGACGATCTTCAGCCTCACATTCAAAACAAAACACTATAGAAGTAAGCATTCACCTGCTCCATATATCTCCATATAAGGACCCTTGCACGAAAGGACCTCGGCTCCCATATATGGTGCACCAATAGCCCAACACAACTGCTCACATCCTCAAACCTCATGCCGCTCTCATGCGCCTCTCAAAAGAGCTTCCGCCAAAGCCCAAAGGCGACCCAAGCTGCGGCTTTCGGACCCCCAGGAATCTGCCAACTTCGCGGCCTGGGCAACTCAGTGGAAAAGCCAGCTATAGCTCACTGTTCGGCGAATTATGTGCTTTAAGATCCAATTCCAAGCTGTTGAGCTCACTGTTGGCTGTTGGCTCACCGTTGAACCTGTTTCCCAACATGGCTTTGAAGATCTGTTACACTACGATTCACTAACTCATGGAACAATCCTGTTCGTCTTCCCGAACATCTTTCGGAGCGACCATGTTTCCACTTCATTCCTCGGAAGCATGTTACGAGTACAGTGAGACAAATCAACCTATTTGAAGCGGGGTGATGAGCTGCACATTTCCAGCCTGCCCGGCTTTGAGCACGAGATAGCCAGAGGCATGCACCGAGGGCCTCTGGTTCTCCTCAAACCTGCGGCGGCTATCGGTGGTTAAGGAAGTGACACAGAACAGATCAGAACCGTGAGGTGCCACATCAATCATGCCACCAACGGAATTGCCAAAAGAAAAAACGTGATCGCCATCTCAAAATCCTGGAGTGAGAGTCTGAGGGTAGCTCAGTCTTTGGTTCCAATACAACATAATGATGAGCACAAATGCACGTCGATCTGCCTCAAACCAAAACGGATCGCCCTTCCAAGAACCACATAACAAGGGATGTTCTTCACAAAAAGGAAGTGATCCTTGCCATCTCGGTTGCCCTTCAAGAAAACTCCTTGTTCCTCAGCAACATTAATGACATCTACTCAGCCGATCTTTGAGCGGCTAAGCCGTCTACTAGACCGAGCACCCCGCCTGATGGTCCTCAAGTGCTCCAAAAGCTCCCTGACGGCCTCCGGTGGCAGCACCATCCCTTCCTCTGGTGGCAGCAGCTCTCGCGGCACCGAGCTCCGATAGGCCTCGCATAAGGCCCTGAGGAGCTCCGACCGGCGTCTCTCCTCCAGGGAGAGAGAGAGAGACGTCGATCTGAAAAGGCGAAGAAGAAGGTGGGAAGACCGCCGTAGAGCAAAAGGAATTCAGGAGTGTCCGACAGATTCCATCTTTGGCACGTCTTTTTGAACCATTTTTATAAATTGGAACCCCAATTCCGGGACGCCAGTCTACATGGTTTGCCCAAACCCATGCCCAATCAATCGGCGTTTCTCCATCCTTTTGGTCCGAATCGACCCAGCTGAATCAACCAATTCGGCATGTCTGATATGTCTGATCCAACCACCAACGTCGGGTCCCGAGTCAGTTGTGAATGAGTGGAAACCCATGTGACCCGAGAAAATGTGACAAACCGACGTGGGTCACATGGAGTCTGACGACGAGGTATCCGAAGAGAAATCCTATGAGAAATCCAAGTAGAACATGGCGCTTCATTGTTTCACGAAGCAACTTCCTATTGAATCAATTTGATGAGCCCCCAAATAGATTGACTTGTCACACTTCACCCTCAAAGGCCTAGTAATTACAGAAGGCATGTGGACATAATTGGACATGCATAGACAAATGCTCCCTCTTCATTCTGAGGCAACCCAAGTGATGGTATGCTTCAAGTAGGGGCACCTCTTATAGATCTTTTCTTCGCACCAGCTCCAGGCAGATCCTTCCTCCTCATCTCCTCGCACCAGCGAGCAACGGGATCCCCCCCAGCTTCGGCCCGTTGGTTGGCGGGACACACTCCTTGAAGCCGAGCACGAAGAACTCCTCCGCCTTGACAGGACGGAGCTCCTCTCCAAACTGCCTCAAGCGTGCTTCCATGTCCTGGACGGGTCCAAGACTGCGTCCAAAAAACGGCTCAGCCACTTGCCAATGTCGAACACTTTGAGTTGGAGATGGGGATGGTGAAGCAATATACTCAAACAAAAGGAACACAAACGTTTCGTGGGCAAACAAACTACATCAAACGAACCACACAAAACACACACTTTAGGCACCAACCCCACAAGCGCCAAGGGAAGCCAAAGCAAAACCGAGCGTCTTCAATGGACAAAGCTCCCAGTTGAAGTTCCAAGGACGGTTGAAGTTCCACTTCGCTCCAGACGTCCTCGTCCTCGGGCCTGTCCTCGCCCAGGTCGGCCTGGCAGTGACTTCACCGGGGTGAAGAAACGTACAGGACATCGAGGAGAAACAATTACTAGGAACATCGTACGCATGGGATCTTCTTCCGTGACATGAACTAATGAACTATTTGTAACCTTTGAAACGAGGTCTCTCAAAACACTTCTTGGAACCAATGACTACCCAACCAAACGGAGGCAGGCAAGATAATAGTAATATACTGTGTATATTAGGTGTATATATATATACATATTTATTTCAGTGAATCCAAAAGCTGGCCCAGTTGGATCCTTGCTTCAAGCACTGTTGCCTTCCTGGTCCATTGAGATCACTTCTAATCAGCACCACCATGGTTCTTGAAAGCGGGTTCTTCACTGATCTTCATGCCACTCAGGACCGCCTACCACAAACAAAAACCCTTGAATTGGTGAAGTGTCA